TGTAGGATTTCAAGATTATACCCCCTCCAATTTCAAAAGAAGGTATATGCAAGGAGCTATTCTCAATTAAAGAAAATTTGATTTTACCTCAACAACCATTACTTTAGATAGAGAGCCTGATTCACCATTAACTTTAGCCATTTCAGTACCATTCTGATTCCTTTCAGCATCATGGACTTCTATAACTCCATTCACCTTATCAGCATCCTCTAAAGGTCGTGACAAAGTTTTCTTGAAGCTTGAGTTTTTGAACCTCCTCTTCACATAATTGACGTGAACCCAAGGTTCATAACCTGCTTTGCTGGCATTAGTAACATCATCCCCAACCCTCTCAACAACTCTAGAGTCTTTATTTTCAACTGGAATAACATTTTTAACTAGATTCTCCATTTGTTTAGAAGCACGATTAGCATCTAAACAAATGTTCATACAATTCTTCTTTAAATGCCCTATCTTACCACAATGGAAGCAAAAGTTAGAAATTCTTTCATACTCAATCTTTTGGAAGAATTTACCTGAACTTCCCTTCCCCCAAACACCCAACGGCAGCTTTCTATCTAGCATGATCCGGACACAAATTCTAGAAAATTCTCTTCTCCCCCACTGGAACATGTTCCCATCTATCAGATATAGAGTACAAACCATGGATGCAATCCTACATACATTAATTTTGTCTCAACATTATAATGGGAGGTTTGGCATCCTAAGCCATACAGGAGCCGATAATCCCTTTAAAGAGGTAGGGAAAAAGGAAGGTGATCATCTATCCATTCCAATGATATGTCCATTGACATACTAAGGTCCACTAGATAGGATTGACTCCATTGGTTCTGATTCTTCAAAAGCACAAAGCACCCACCCCATTCCGAGCAATATCAGATGAAATCTACCAAATTGGGATCATTGCCTCCTTAATTCCATGCTTATGACATGAAAGGGAACATTCTCACCAAAAACTTTGATTACCAATAATTTTTTAAGCTTCTTAGTATTCTCCAATTCATTTTGTATATGCAACTTCACCAAATACCCATTCTTGACTACACAGTCACCATGATTAATATCCAGAGCTATGATATTCAAATTTTTACTCTATGCATTCATCAACACCTTGCTCGGCTATTATTTGGGAACATCCGTCTGATTATTAATTGTATTGTAATGGCCCAGATCACCTGAATCATAACTACGGACCTTCTCCAGATCAGATGCTAATTGATCCAAACTAGCCTCTTTAATCTGATGATCACAACCAGATTTAAGCCCATCAGAATTCTTTTTATCTATCTCTTCCTCTGAAGTATGGATCAAATTCGATCTAAATCAAAAAGAATCCAACTCTTCCGGCATTCCAGTATCCCCATCAATAAGATTGGCGTAGACAACTCCATTCAATGTCTTCAAGCCAGAAGACGGAGAAGCACCATTATTTGATTTAAGCTCAAATTTGGACTCTATAAGACATCCAAGCATTTTTGGGCTTTTATCCAATATGTCGATCAATACATTCTTACCCTTCCCTACACATTCCATTTGTTTTTTTAGGAACCAGTAATCCACCTTCATTGATGACTAAAGGTAACCCAGACTTAAATCTCATCTTTGCATCCTAATAAAACCTCGAATTACCATCTCCAAAAGCAGGCATAAATGAAGCTGGATTCGATCGGGAAAGAAACCTAACACCATTTGAAGAAGACAGACGACTGCAAAAGAATCGTCGGCCAAAGGAGGCTGACGATCTTCTACCATCATCAGAGGAAGCAAGAAATTGCGGGAAACAAAAATTCAAAATTCGCCTTTTCTCTCTAAAAATCGGGACCTTAGTGCACCACCTTTATAATGTGCAATGATGTAATGTTCTAATCTGATAAATTTTAAGTGTCTAATATAGTCAATATTAATAAATGAAGTGTATGTATGAAGTGTGTGCAGTGAACAAGCAACTATCGCGCCATCTGCAGGTGTGCTGAGGCAACTAGCTATACAGTTGCAAATAATACCAGGCATTACATAATAAGATATTACATATTAATACAATTATTTATTACTTCAATGAAAAAATAATAAATGCCATATACATTGTTCTTAATATATCAACCATTCAGAGCACACTGTAGTGCTTCCTTTGTCCTGAATGTCATATTCTCATGGAGACGATCAAGAATTATGGCCTCTAACTCCTCCTGGTTATGTCCTAGGGGGCCATATATAATATCCATTACATCTTAGTCCTCAATAGTGGTTATGAATTATACGAAATCATTATTTGTAATCTTGGAATCTAGATTTTCAATGTTTTATGTTTCATTACTTCGAATGATTTCATGCCTATGGACTGCAAGGTCCTTCTTGTCTGTGGGAATAGGATCGGAAGAAGGATCAATGTCTCTACTGGAGTTTTCACTTGTACCACTTTCCATGGTCTTATAAATGGGAAGGTTTGGTTCAACCTCATCCTACATCGAACAAGCTTCATATGTAACTTGAGCTTTATTAAGGTACGACATGAAGGAGTGTGATCCTTGAATATAGTTTGGGAAGCTGAAGTTGATTGTTGGCCGCTCAAAAATGCCTAAGCCATGCACAATGGGCTGATTGACCATCAATGGGGGTGGGCCTACATGATTTGTGTAAGATGAATAACTACTATATTATATTTAAGAGTATAAGCGCTTGGTAAATAGGAGGACATGATCGAGAATAACGTGTACACATGGGTGGAATGTTGGGGATTATTAAAGTGCACAGGGGACGATAACTCTAATTCAGATACTTATCTTGGCAACTCCTCAAAATTGACATACACGATCACTGTCCTCCTCCTAGCCTCAGCAATCACGAACTCATATACATCATCATCTGTGATACGGACAGTGGTGTGATCACCATTATTATGTAGTCGACATACATGATTAACTGTGTGTGTGGCCTGACCGCACCATAATACTCCAAGAATCATAAGTTGCAGTTATTCAAATGTTATCATGCCATTTATCTGTGGAGGCCTGTTTCTTCCTCTAATATATGTAGGTGCAAAGCCTTCTACTAATTGAGGCCCCCAACATAAAATAAGAGTAAACATGATATATTTTCTGATGATCAATAAGACTAATAATAACCTAGATTTTAGTAAGATATTGCATTAATTAAAAAAGGAATTTTGCTAATTGTATTTCCTTAATGTAGAGCAAAATTTAAATATTAATAACTTAATTATTATCTATATGCCTTTTAGGGTCAATTATTTATTCGTCATATGAATGACTTGTTAGACAATAGCTACATATAAGAATACTTTATTTTAATTTCTAGTTAGCATTCAAATTCTCATTCAATATTATTTATGGTTACTCTCTTTCATATTAAATGTATACCATTAATTTTGAATTTTTTAATAAAATAAATTTATTGTTACAAATTTTCAATATAAAATGTTTTTAAAATATGAAAATAGCGTACAAGAAAATTCTAAATCTTTCTTATTTTTAAAAATCAAAATTTAAAAATATGTATGTAACCATTTGTAATAATTTTTTTTTAATTTATTATTATTATTTAAATTTTGACCTAAATTTTATCATGTTCAACCTTAAAACAATATTTTAGTAACCATAAGCTAATTAATATTTAAATATTCTAATTAAAACATTTTATCTTTAAAATGAATGTAAAGTAAATGCATGAACTTACTTTTTCTTTCCATTTACTTTACATCATAAATACAGCAAATCAAATAGCTCCTAATCCTTCTTCCTACCATCTATTTTAGAAACTTTTTTTTTGGGACATTTAGACCATTTAAGGTAAAAACTCACACACACAATGCATACACAAAGACTCGAACCAAAGACCTTTTAGTTGGAAGCCTAAGCTCTCAACCAATAAGACAAAGTGAGTTGATGCGTGCAGAAAACTCAAAATATAGCTTTGTTTTCAAAGACAACCAAAAAGAATTTTGCGATTTATGTATGAAAACGCAAAAACATTCAAAAAAATCTTAACCCTGAAATCCAAAATCACTTTCGCATTTTCGTTATGTTTAAAATTCTATTTTAATTAAAATTATTCGTCTAATTTAGGCTTTATTTGGGACTACTTTTTTTAATGTTTCTTAAAATTATTTTTTAGTAAAAAAAAAATTTAAGAAGAAAAAAAAAACCCTCCCAAATAAAACATTAATCTTATACAACGTTCCTTCTTAAAATTTTGCCTATGTGAAATACTTGACAATAATAAACAGCCCGCGGCTTTTATTCTATCAAAAAATTCATATAATGAAAGACCTTAACTAAAGTGGTCCAAAAATAACTATTCTTCACATCATAAATTTCATAGAAGTCTTAACCAATTTATTAAGCAATATGGAGCATCTCATCTCATTAAAATACTTGAAGAATTTTCGGTTTTATTTGGGACAAATTTTTTTCTGTCTTCAATCACAAAAATTTATGAAGTAGAAAATTTTTATTAAAAAATTGCTTTAGAAAGTAGTGAAAAAGCTGTCTCAAATAAAGCCTTACAGTTTTCTTGCTGTTTTATAAAACAACTTTCTAATATACAAATTTTTTAAGCATGAATATTTTTTTGCTAAAAAGCTATTTTAAAAAATAGTAAAAAAACTATTACAAATGAAATCTAAATCTCACTAAGATATATAAATGAAATTCAATTGTTATATTTTCAAATGATTAGAATTTTTTTGCAACACTTTAACTTCTACATATTATTATTTGATAAAACCCACAAGTCTTTCTTTTCAAATTAGTATGTATCAAAAAATATAAACACAGCTCAACTATATATTGGTTGGACGCAATGGCTAATATCAAGAGGTTTTGAGTTGAGAGTTTGAATCCAATAATTTTTAATTAGAAATTTAAACTCTGAGCTAATAAATCAAGTAAGCTGCATCATACAATGCTACCGTAAAAAATAAAAAACACCACTTCTGGACAAAATGCTTTCCCTGCTCCTTTGCATCAGTATACGATGTCTCACCAGTTTTAAGAGGGTTCCGCTTGGCCTATTATCATTGGAGTAGCTCGGATAACGATGGCTCTACAAGATTCCTATCTCTTTTCCTTCTCCAAGTCCACGTCTTCTTCCCTTCATCATTTCTCCTCTCTCCTCCCCTTTTACCGACGCCGTCAGATTTAGCGATGGCCAGCGGGACCATGAGGGTGGATTCGTCTTCAGGTCCGGCTGAGAACGGGAGGACGGATGAGCCGGCGTCCTCTGCGCGGCGTCCTCTTAGGGTTGGGGACTATCTCGGAAAACATCGTCTTTCTGCCGCCATTGGCCGCCTTCATCAGGAGATCCAATCACTCGAAGTATAAAAAATCTCGCCATTTTTTTTCCTTTCTCTTTTTTCCAGTTTCTTTCTAATCGGCACAAGTAGAAAGGAGTTCAAAGCGATTTCCTGACGGTTTATCTTTAAAGGGGAATTTCGTTATAAAAATACCTCTTTTTATATTTTATCTGTGATTTTTCTTGAATAGTTAAAAAAAATAAGTTTTGGAATGGTCTTTTGGTTAGCTCTGCACTGGAATCGAAATTGCTTGTTTCTATTAAGTGTTATAGGTTGTTAGTATATCATTCTTGTTGTTTTTTGTATGATCCAAATGAAGTTAATGAACCCTGCTTAAGGAATACATCTATTTCGATTCCTATTTTTGAGAATAAATGTTGGTTTTCTCTACCCAATACAATTTTCTAAGAGACTAATTGCATGCATCGAAGGATCGATGTTGACATGAGGTATGATGGTGATTTCTTTATTTTTTTATTTACTTTACTTTAGAGATTAAGGTACTCTATGACATGTCCTTCTTCTTCTTCCTTCTTCATTTGCTTGAAGAAAGGAAATATAAGGAGCTCCACACTCTCTCAAAATTTTCATTTTCTTTCCTTGGAACAATAAACCCCCTTTCCTCAATTTGAGCGCTTTCTCTTCACTTTCTCTAGAATCCAATACCCTAACAGCCTCCCTGATATCCTCCATTCAAATATTTTCCTAAAATTTCTCCAACAAACTCCTCATTTGAATTATTTAACTTAAAATTCAAACATAAAGACTTCAGCTTAAATAACCAACTTACTTGTTCAAATTCAAATCCGAATTCTAACTGTGCTTAAATTTAAACCCTAAAACTAATCTGGCCAATTTCCTTATTGTGTTTTGATTCGTAGCTATTTATTTTCTTTTAACTGACCATACCTTACCGAATCGACCCAACCTAACCAACACAAATTGATCTTCCAGTTTGATCAACCCCATTGAGCTCAGCCATCCATTAAAAAAAAAAAGGAATTATTTTCCTTCATTGCAATTCAAGTTGGATGGTTGAAGTGGAGGAATGCATCGGGCTTGTTATGTGATAGAAATGTACCCCTTAAACTTAAGGGAAAATTCTATAAGATGGTAGTGAGGCCTGCAATGCTTTATGGTGCTGAATGTTGGCATTAAAAAAGAAGCATAATACTAAGTTATGTTTGACAGAGATGAGGATGCTCAGGTGGATGAGTGGCTTTACCCTTAGAGATAGGATACGAAATGAGCATATACGTGAAAAGGTTGGAGTAGCTCCAGTAGAAGATAAGATTAGAGAGAGACGCCTTAGATGGTTTGGTCACATAAAATGTCGGCCTTCCGATGACCTGGTTAGGAGAGTAGAGGTATTAGATTTGACTTATGTTAAGAAAGTTAGGGGTAGGTCTAAAAAGACTTGGTTAGAAATTATTAGGAATGACATTTCTTTATTAGATTTAAACGAGAATTTGACTTTTAATTGGACACAATGGAGAAAAAGGATTCATATAGCCGACCCCACGTAGTGGGATAAAGACTTCATGTTGTTGTTGTTGTTCAATCCTTCTTTTTCTTGAAAAGACATAACGGGATTATCTTCATAATCTGATTAATGGTAAGCTAGCGTTCATAAGGATTTCTATTTGGTATCTTTTGCAAGTACTTTTGTAGATGCTGTTTAATGTTCCAGGGGTGAGTCAACATTCCTGTTCTCCCAACAAAAAAAAGTCATCTATTTAATGGCAGATATATTGAGGCAATCACTGCCAATTTTCATCAGTAACAATTTCTTTACTTGTACTGCCTTTTAATATTTCTTGATCTGCTGTGTTTATTTGATGCTACCAATCTCTAGAGTAGAACACAGGGGGATTGATAGAAACCATAAAGCTCACTTCTTAGTTTAGATGTGTCATTTTCATTGAGTCTTTTATATATTTCATTTCTGTTATTTTTTTTATTTTTACATCATAACCCCGTTTTTTCTTGTTTCAATGTAATGGGTTAATTTGACATTTTTTCTATTTATTAATTTAGTATTCCCTTATTTGTCTTGGATAGTTTTATCATTCGAAATATGATCTATTATTGTTAATAGTTGTCATAATCATGTAACCTGATTATGTTCATATGATTAATGTAATTTATATTTTCCTTGCTGCATGAAGATTTTGGCCTTTCTTTGGAGATTCTATGATTCTTCACTTGTCCTATGACAGATTCAGAGATTTGTCCGAGAAAGTATGCTTCATTATTCTTTGTCTCTTTCCCTACTACTTAACTCCCCTATTCTTCCATGCTCTACATGTTAATCTCTATGATGTTCTTTTATCACTAATACCCTTACATCCTCTTCCGAAGATTAAACTTTTTAATATTATTTTGAAGATTAAAAAGATTTTAGATGAGTGGAAAATGAGTCTATTGATTCCTTTTTTTAATAATAAAGGTGATGCACAAGATTATGCGAATTATAGAGGAATTATGTTTCTGTGTCATACTTTAAAACTACGGAGAGAGTTATGAAACGTAGTTTAAGACGTGGTACTAATGTTTCTCAAAATTAATTTGGATTCATGCTGGGTAGGTCTCTATGGAAGCTATACATTTATTGAGATTTTTGATGGAGAAGTATGAGAGAATAAGGTGGATCTACATATGATATTTATTGATTTAGAGAAAGCATGTGATAAAGTTCCAAGAGAAGTGCTATAGAGAGTTCTTGAAAAAAAGGGGTTAATAATGCTTATATTCAAGTCATTAAGGATATGTATGTAGGAGCTATTAGTTTGACAAAGTATTTTACTATTTCAATTTGATTACATCAAAGATCAACTTTAATCCCATATCTTTTTGCTTTAGTCATGGATGTTCTCACTAGACATTTATAAGAGGTTGTACCTAGTGTTTGCTTTTTGTTGATGATATTTTTCGTTGATAAGACTAGAGAGTGAGTTGAAGGTAAACTTAAATTATGGAGGTCGGCTTTAGAGTCTAAAGTTTTTTTTTTTTGAGGAGTTCTAATACTGAATATATGGAGTGTAATTTTTGTAATAATAAATTTAGTGAGGGTATTGCGATTTTGGGCTCTGATGCCATTAATAAGTGTAAACGTTTTAGATATATTGGGCCTATTGTTCAGAGTGATGGTGAAATAGATGGGGATATTATTAGTAGAATTCAAGTTGAATGGTTGAAGTGGAGGAATGCCTCGGGCTTGTTGTGTGATAGAAACCCCCCCAAAAAAAAAAACAAATTTAAGGAAAAATTTTATAAGATGATTACCTGCAAGCTTTATAGTACAGAATATTGACCATTAAAAGGGAAGCATTATATTAAGTTAAGTGTTGCTAAGATGAGGATGCTCAAGTCGATGAGTGGCTTTACTATTAGAGATAGGATACAAAACGAGCATATAAGTGAAAAAGGTTGGAGTAGCTCCAGTCGAAGATATGATTAGAGAGAGTTAACTTTGATGGTTTAGTCACTCTTTGCTTGCTCAAATGAAGGGATGACCGACACCCGAAATTAAAGTGCGAGGCTGACCAAACGACGTCGGATCGACAAACAGACATCATTGTTGCGTTCGGAATGTTGCCAACCTCTAAAAAATTGTATTTTGTTATGGGGTTGGCGAGGGCACCTGCATAAACACAGTTATTTCCCCACGTACGGGTACTTATAAGTAACCCCACCTCGCCGTAGGCACCGCACCGGGGTCCCATCCCACCACGCGCAATAAAGGCGTGTATGGGCGGTTTTTTGGTGCGCCACTAACTCCCATTTCGGAACCCCCACTTCGTCAAGCCGTCAGTAGGGGCAAGAAGTATGAAGGCTAATTTGACTCGACAAGTTCAAGTGATCGTAGTCTGCTAAATTCTCCTAATTGATCAGATAATCAAAGTTCTAGTGGAAGGAGTCACGAACAACTATGACTTTTAAATCTTGGTATGTTGGAGAAGGCGATGTCTTAAACTTTTGAAACCTGATTTGTCTTTGCTGTGCTTCTTGCTTTGGCGGGACCGCGGTCGTGCTTTTCGTTCCCACCACGCGCAATAAAGGCATTTTAGGGTTGGCGAGGGCATCTGCATAAAAACACAGTGTTTCCCTAGCAAAATTTTAAATATTTATTCGGAGATATCAGCATGCAGCGCAATGTCGACCCAAATGAATATTTAAAGTCTACAAGGACATTTGTAAGTGTCATTCAGGATGCTTCTTTTCGTAGCTTTAGCTTGAGTGGTGAGATCCAGTGGCATTTTGTAGCAGCTTTTGTATTGAGTTGTTTTCTACTTTGTACAGGTAAATTGTCGTCCACAAACTATAATGCCATGCCACCGGATCTGCAACATTCGTACAAGCAGACAGAAGGCGTTCCGGACACAACGACGAAGTCCGTTTGTCAATCAGACATCATTTGGATAACACCGAGCAACATTTTCCTTGAAATTTGTGTCCTTGCCTCGGGATCCGTGTCACCAATTCGGATGCTTCAAATTGAATAAACAAATCGGAGTTCGTGGCGCACCGGAAAATAGCTCATACACGTCTTTATTGTGCGTGGTGGGATGGGACCCCGGTACGGTGCCTACGGCAAGGCGGGGTTACTTATAAGTACCCGTACACGGGGGAACTTTTCTTCAACAAGTCCACCAAAGCACAAAGCAAAAGACCGAATAAAATATCCTATAGTTCACACAAAGCCCAAGGCTGAACTAAGAGGATTTCATCATCAAAAAGTTTATTATGCTAATGTCCGCCGCACAAAGCACAGTGCAGAAGGAACTAAAATCTCACGACTCAAGCTAAAGCTACGAAAAAAAGCATCCTGAAAGAGATACACGCCTCAGCGATGCACGTCACTTGAAGGTTCAAACGACCTCTTATTGTCAAACGGACGGCATTATTGTGATCAGGATGTCGAATTCTGTTAGGTCGGGGCCCCTCACAGTCGAATCAGATGAGATCGGTCAAAAGGGATGACCGACCTGAATAAATATTTAAAATGCCTCATGTCTTGTAGGGACATTTTAAACCCAAACTGGAGAATAAAGTGATACACGCCTCAGCGACGCACGTCACTTGAAGGGTCAAACGACCTATGATTTCCAAATTGACGGCATCGTTGTGATCAGGACGTCGAATTCTATTAGGTCGGGGCTCCTCGCAATCGAACTAGGGCGTTATCCAAATGATGTCTGATTGACAAACGGACTTCGTCGTTGTGTCCGGAACACTGTCACGAACAACTACCGAATGCTCGTAGGCTCCAAATATTCAACCACAAAGGATGAGTCAAAATCTATCAACTTTAGTAAAATTAGCATTGGGAAGCGCCGACGTCGTTTTGTCAACCTCGCACTTTAATTTCGGGTGTTGGTCATCCCTTTTGACCGATCTCATCCGGTTCGACTATGAGGGGCCCCGACCGGAACATCGTCAATACCCTAAATACACTATCAATTTGTTTAATTGAGGTCAACACATAAATCGAGATGATTCCAAATCGACTGCACTTATTTCGTGAAAAATTTAGCCTCTACATTACTCAAACAGACTCTGATCGTGAAACGGAGGCCTTGAAGGCCTAATATGAATGTATTAAGACAAATATACTAGTCATTGCAACCGTATATTTGTTTGATGATTCGAACCTTGTCGACTTCTATTGATCTGCATAGAAGGATCGGGTTCGAACTCGAATTCACTTATTGACCCGCGCAACATCCCTAGACGTCACGTGCTCGTAGACTCCAAATATTCAACCACAAAAGATGACTCAAAATCTACCAACTTCAGTAAAATTAGCATTGGGAAACGCATTTCCCATGACTCAAGTTTGAAATCTGAATGTATGTAAAAGGTCGGATCCAACATGCCCAAATATGACTGGATTGCTGGACATCAGCAATACCATAAATGCACTACCAATTCGTCTAATTTCGATATTCGCAAAATTGACATAGAAAACAGTCACATAAAATGGAGGCTTTCCGATGTAAGAAAGGGAGAGGTAGACCTGAAAATAATTTGTTAGAAAATATTAGAAATGAACTTTCTTTATTAGATTTAAATGAAAATTTGACTCTTAATAGGACACAATGGAGAAAAATGATTTATGTAGCTGATCCCACGTAGTGTGATAAAAGCTTGTTTTTGTTGTACCCTTGCATCCTCTTCTATGTCCTTTATTTTTGTATAACAGGTTTGATACCCCTGCATATGATACATAAATATCATCTCATCCTCCAACTTCATTGATTGAGCATAATTAATTTCATCTACATGAGAATTGTTGAACATCGACTTCCAATTTTATCATCTCGTCTTCCAAATATCTTATTTTAGAGGCTGTCTCACCCATAAATATTGTATTTTTTTCAAATAACAACCCTTGCATCTTTTAAGATTTGAAATTCTTAGCTGTATGTTTGTAAGAATTAGAATGCAAGCTTCATGAATGAGGTGGGTGAAGAGAGGTGCTTCGGGTTGTCCAAAATGATCTGGAACCTGGAGAGAATTGTACGTCAAGCATTTAAGTTTTTAGCCTTTTCTAGAGGTTTATGACAGGGGCTAAATAAATAATCATATCAAAATCTTGTGTTGTTTTGTTTGAATTGCTTAGACTTCATTTGGTAACGTAGTGTTTTGATGTTTGATAAGAAACAAGGTTACTGTTATTCTCATAGATATGAATTAGCTTCTCTGCTTGTGTGTTGCCAATAGTGTTGAAGTACTGCATTCAAGCTTAACATTTGTTACTCCATTTGGGTTGGCTAATGTTGCGAGGAAAAATATTTTTGAAAGCAGTTGTGGGTATTATTTTATTTATTTATTTTGAAAAAAGCGAATCTTTCTTATAGCTACCACATTCTAATAGATTTGATTATAAAAAATAGTTTTTATGATATATAAAAGCAATACAAAAGAAGTTGAATAGGGATGTAACTACTACCTAAAAAACAAGCTTGGAGGAAGTTGGTCCAAATTGAGCCTTAGTTGAACAATTTGCTTTACCCAAAATATTGACTCCAAAAACATTTAAAAGATCATTGTGAGGGTAGCGAACCAAACATGAACAACAAATCTAAGAAAATTGAAGTGGATCTCAAAAACCATGGGCAACACCAGTTGATCAATCCAATCAATTAGTGTGCATTCGGTGAATTGTTTTCCAATGCCTTTATTATATCTTATTTTTTCTTCTCCACACAGTAAACACGGTGTTCTCTGCATTTATGCAGTCAGAGTTAGAAGAACTGGATAAGATGGAGCCATCTTCTGCTGCATGCAATGAGTAAGTGTTTATATAAGATTTCTCTTTGCAGTGCACCGAATCAATCATTCCCGATGGAATAAAATAAAATTTTCTCGTTCTACCCAAAGAAGCTCCAATTTTTCTCAAGCCTGACTGTTCCTTTTGTGGATAATTCAGTGTTCTCTCTTCTATGGAAGGAATACCAGATGCTCTTCTTCCCATGTGAGTCAACAGTCTTATAAACCCGTAATGCTTTTCCTTTGAAATTTCCTTGCTCACTATTATGTTTTAAGTATTTCTGTTGCTTATCTCAGCACCAAAGGGCCTGAGCATTCTGCTTGGGAGAGATGGTTTCAGCCAGTACGAAGCTCCAGGAACCGCAAATGGTGGAGCAACAGAGAGTCTAATGTTTCTTAAGTGTTGGAATTTTGATTTTTTAAATAAAAAACTATAATGTTAGCTCTCTAACACATCAGTTTGGTTTTGTTCTACTTATTATGCATCCTATGTTTATAATTTTTCAGATTATGTTCTGTACTGTTCAAGTTTGATGGGATGCATTATTAAGAAATTGTAAATGCTGCGTTAAAAGTTGAATCTCTCCACCTTTGATTGTTCTATGTTAGCCATAGAACAAGAGGTAATTAGCACTCCATGTTGGATTGCTGGAGGGTTGACATAGCAATGATAAATTTGCTTTCAGTATGATTTAGAGATAGTAAGTTATGTTGAATCATAGAAGAGCCATCTAATATAAAAACCAACTTTCTGGGCCAATGATTTGATATGGTGCAGCTTATGTATGTAGTTTTATAGTTTGATACTTAAAAAGTATATGATGTGATTTAGATCTTTTAGGCTTCGTTTGGGACGGCTTTTTTATTGCTTTCTAAAACAGAGTTTTAGTATAATTTTTTTTATTTTTGTATTAAAACTATGTTTTAGAAAGCAGTAAAAAAGCCGTCCCAAACGAAGCCTTAGTTTCTATGATGTCTTGTCAATAAGTTGTGGTGTCATTGCGGTGAACCAGAATAAGATAGTTTTTCTTAAGAAGCAGGATCAAGACAACCAGCTCATAATTCATTACATGAAGAGCTATTACATGTAAGTACAAAAAAAAAAGGGTATTTAGATGAGAAGACCAAACATAGGTCAATTAGAAGAGCGAAATATTCAAATATTCAGAATAATGGCAGAGAAGAGGGAGACTAGTGTTAGCAGATGGCAGCAAAGAAGAACAATGTAAAGAAGTTGTAGGAGAGATACCAATCAATTATAGGTAAGAGAAAAGAACAAATAATGAAAGAGATCTTTTTTAGAATCTAGCAATTCAGGTAAGGTCCGTACAAGGGCAGTTGCATTACCTGATAGAAAGAAATTGATGGATAGAGTTGCGAGAAGATTCGAGTGTGAAATTTGTTAGTAGGAGAGAGTGGATATTGAAGACTACTATGGACAATCTCGTTAGAATGATTGATTTTACTTAATAACTTACTGGTTAGCTATCTCTAAAGCTAAAAATTTAGTGCAACAATTTTAATTCCTTGTGATTCTCAAATAACCAAGGAAAGCCAAAGCAAGTGGATAATAATAAAGCTAGTTGTCCTTCTAAAATTATGGAAGTCTGTTTTTAAATGACCATAAAGTTATATTGAAGAAGATATCAGTAGCTATTCTTAGTATTTTTGAATTTTGAACATTAGAACCTGATGCATAGTTTAAATATTATTGGAATGAATGAAAGGGAAAGTTTTGATATTTTGGCAAAGAATAGAGAGTGAAATTTCTAGAGTTGAGAGCTTAGTGTTCAACCCCCCCACAATGCAAACCCCCTGTTCAACTCCCCCCCCCCCCCAAGGAAGAGTATGTGATCTTTTTTCTAGTTATTGATTTATCTCACAATCTCTTATAATATATTATCCCATATTCTTAGCATCATCCCTAATCATTTTTCCATAACCTAAAATCATAAGAAATTTTTAAATCTCTCTTAATGTTGGCTACCATTTTCTCTATTTTTCCAATAGAGGTGTGGAAATACTTAGGAGATAAAAGGAATTTTTTGGCTTATTAAACTTTTTAATACTATTTTGAAGACAAAAGATGACATGAGTGGAGAATGAGTGTGTTGATTCTTATTTTTAAGAATAAAGGTGATGCACAAGATTATGCGAATTATAGAGGAATTAAGTTAATGTGTCATACTTTAAAACTATGGGAGCGAGTTATGGAGCATAGGTTGTGGTGTGATACAAATATTTCTCAAAATCAATTTGGATTCATGTCGCGTAGGTCTACTATGGAAGCCATACATTTATTGAGAGGTTTGATGGAGAAATATAGAGTGAATAACGATGATCTACATATGATATTTATTGATTTAGTGAAAGCATCTGATAAAGTTTCAAGATAAGTTCTATGGAGAGTTCTTGAAAAGAAAGGAGTTAGTAATGCTTATATTCAAATCATTAAAGATATGTATGCAATAGCTATTACTTGTGTTCAAACACAAGGTGGTTTGACCATGTATTTTTTTTATTTCGGTTGGATTACATCAAGGAATAGCCTTAGGCCCATATCTTTTTCTCTAGTTATGGATGTTTTCACTAGACATTTGCAAGAGGATGTACCCTAGTGTATGTTTTTGCTGATGATATTCTTCTTGTTGATAGGACTAGAGAGGGAGTTGAAGGTAAATTTGAATTATGGAGGTCAACCTTAGAGTCTAAAAGTTTTCTCTTGAGTATATCTAAAATGGAATATATGGAGTATAATTTTAGTAATAATAGACCTAGTGGGGGGTTTTTTGACTTGGGCGATCAAGTCATTAATAAGAGTACACATTTTAGATATCTTGGATCTATTGCTTAGAATGATGGTGAAATAAATGGGATATTATCAGTACAATTCAAGTTGGATGGTTGAAGTAGAGGAATGCTTCGGGCTTTTTATGTGATAGAAAAGTCTCTCTTAAACTTAAGGAAAAAATTCTATAAGATAGTGGTTATAAATCTCCAAAAGGAAACCGTCGGCTACAGAGCCTAGGGACCGATAAAACTCTCGATTAAGGATCTGATATTATTCTTCCCAAAATAGGAAATTTGCATGAAAAGGGAGACTAGGAAATCCTACTCATAAGGAAAGAAAGGTTTCAAATGGGCTACCTATTAAAATTTGGATTAAGGTAGTCGAGGAGAGAAAGAAACTCAAACACTCAGAGCATGCAGAGAAAGGATTTAAGTGGTTCCATCTATGTGACACGGATAAGTAGGGTTTACAGTCCCTGAAGAAAAGGAACTTACCCACCATTTAAGCATACTACGAGACACCTAGTGTAGTAGTCTCGAATATTAGATCTAAGGTGAGCGTAGTGTTTTACCCAACACTAACATCCGTGTTCTAGCTAATGCACCTGGGCTTATACACTGCCTAAAAAGGGATGCCAGCTAACCACCTAAGCACATAAAATTCATGCAGTCCAGTCTTTATGAAAGATATGTATGTATTTTAGTGTATTAAAAGTAGCCCTGACGTCTAGAGAGTTTCCTAATTAGCTATGGACATATGTTGGGTGAATATTCTTAGAGCTAATACAATTAAATTTTAATTAAGTTGGTTTCTAATGCAATGCATGCTAGATGAAAAGGCTAAATCATGTATGCTTGAGATTTTAAGAACAACTTATATAAAAATAATTTTTAGAAAAGACTGAGCCTCCACAGGTCCGACACTTCATCCTCATAGGCCAGATTATTCAGACTCTACCCACAGATGGGGAGGTCTCTTATTCGAAGGAGAGAAAAGAATGCAATTAATATGCATGCGAGTGCGGATAATTATGGCTATTCCATAGGTCTAAGTTATTTAAACCTTAAAATTTTGAATATTAGTTACGAGTAGAAAAAGTTTTTTTATCATAAAGAGCCTAACGAAAATCAGGGTACACACATACAAGAAAAAAACCTAAAAAAGTAGGCAATTCTTACTGCGAACAAAAAATAAACACATCAATATAAATCTAGAAAAATCATAGTAAAGTCCACGATAAGTGCTGTATAAGTACAAATTAGGGTCTGTAGAAAAGTAATGGTGGCTAGACCCCACCGACAACAACCTGGATTCTAATCATAATGAATGACGCAAGTCTTAAAAGTAAGGTATTTCATCTTCAAGTCTTCGTCTTCAGATTTTCATATGGATCATCTCCGGACTGTCTTCATTTGGATCGTCTCCTTTGGGCTCCGTATGGTTCGTCTTTCGGAAGGGCACCCAAATAACTAAGAAATTTCCTATAAAGGGTCTTTCTTATTCTCTTTGGGTACCGAGTATTTGAAATGCTAGACTTTTAAAGACTTTAACAACTCAATGAATAACAAACTACATTACATTTTAAAAAAATAAATCTAGACCCGAACTCATACATGGTTATCCTAATAAAAATCATTCTAAGCAATTTAATATATCATATCACAAGTAGTTAATAATAGTGCAGAAAAGTAAATACATTTTTCCACGCTCTTTTAATTTAGGTAGGGGTCTTTAGCAATTTATGAAACATCTGTAGAAAATAGCATTAGTATTTAAAGCTTTATGATTATAGCCCCCTTTATTAGCGCCGCATGAGCTTGGTCACATGCATAAGATTGAATTAGTATAAAAGCGGCCCTAGCCCATAAGCAGTCTAACACACATAATATATTAATCAATGTATAGAAAATATAATGAAGTAAAGCTCAATCACAGCACAATAGAGTCAAACACATCAACCAACACGTGTTATATACGAAAATATCACATCACGGAAGCAGGAAAAGAAAATGCCGGCCCTAATCCTAGAGCTAGAAGTGATGCCCTAACAAATATATGTGTGTGTAGTAGGCTTATATGGCTTTGGATAGGTCCTATGTCAGGTATTTAGTTCAAGTTGTCTATAGTTTAAGTTTGTTGAAGGTCTGAAAAGGAAACTTTATTTAAAGTTTAAATATTAGTAAATTTGGATTCATTTTAGTTAATTTAGTTTATTGATCAATTTTAATACTTAGGGTAATGATTTTTTGAAGTTTAAGTTATATTAGTCAATTTTGGAAAGTCTCTCGTCGTCCTATGCGCTAAGTTAAGGGGGCCCAAAAGATTACTATTGAAAATGGGTTAGGTTTGGGGGTTCTAGAATTTTTATTAAATATTAGGCCTTAAGGGGAGTAGTTAGGCTTTGAGTTTGCTAGATTCTTAGATTTTTTTTTTGTTAAAGTGGATTTATTAGAATTTTCTGAAGGTATTGAGACCTAATTATCGGGTAAATTAGGGTTTGTTAATTAAGGGGTCTAAAGGCTCCTAAAAATTTCTAGAAAATTTTGGAAGGGTCAGGATGTCACTAAGTTTAAGTGTTTGAAGTTTCAAGTCATTCGATGATCTATCTTAGCTCATAGAATTTTTTTAAGTTCACTAGACGGGTTCTTAATTATTATTCTTAGGGTGTTGCTATGTTGAATAGACTTAAATCAATATTAATGGTTAACCCTTGAGGTAACATGCAAGGAATGTATAAAAACAGTAAACACGACATGTCCTTAGATCTAGGAGAGCCTAGGCTAAGTGCTCGTGCATCATACATATAGAAAATATGATGAAAAAAGGATTAAGCACGTCTAATGGTGTTCTTAGTAAATGATTGAGGTTCAATCATCCATTAATCCACCTCCCTCATAAATACTATTCATAAGCACAAGCATATGTTTAAAATTTCAAATATTGGATCTCCCAAAATTAGGTATTTAAAT